TTTGGTTGGGGAACGATAAATGCCAGTATAGTTATATACGCGGCTGCTTTGCATACCCTGCGGCTGCTTTGCATACCCTGCGGCTGCTTTGCATGCTCAGCTAATCTGTCATGCAACAATATTTAACTTAATTTAAATCCGTTTGTAATTTATAATAAAAGTATACATCTTTAAATACAAAAAGTCTGGCTGTGCTTTGGGGCACATTTTGTACGCCTTAACATCCCTGTTCCGAAGAAGCTCACAACAATATGTTGTATTTAAAATGATCATTTAAAAAATGTATTTAGATTGAAATGAAATGATCATTTAAATGTTTATTTGAAGATAGAGATAATACAACGCCAAGCCATTAAAATCTAGCAACAAGTCATTAGAATAGATTGTTTCATTCACAGTGGATTGTGATTCAAGTTAATAGTGTCATACGGTATTGATTTATTAATTAATAAATAAATAAATGCTATACTTAAAATAACGCTAATCTTACCACACAACCAAGGGCATTGCGATTTTTTCACTCGCTCTTTTCTGCCCCCTAACAAATATTCAGTTACATAAGAAGAGTTAATTTCCAAAGTGAGTTATATCCATTAAAAAAAATAACTCCAGATCTCAGAGAGCGCGAAATGGGCAAAATCATCAGAATTTGCTATGAATATGATTTTTTTTTTACAGTGTGTTTCCCCTCAATTTGGTGTGGATTTTTTCCCCGTTTTTTTTGTGTGTATGATGAAAAAATCCTTTTCCAGAATAGCTACTGATTGGTTTAGAATAGATTATGATATGAAACTTTGAGACTGATGGTTTCTGTACAATCAAAATAGTTGCAAAGATAATGCATGTTATATACCTGTAACACATAAATAAAACTCAAGAAATCAAATAAGCATTAATGTACTGAATGATAAAAATTAAGATAATGATTACACAATGTTAAGCATTTTAAATATAAGCTATTCAAATTATAAGATCACACCAGCTTCCCAGGTAACCATTTGCATGATCATGTAACAGAGCCATTGCTTAGCATTGTTCAATTGGACCTTTCATAGTTTTTACGTGATAGATGTATCCCAGCATCCAATTGTGTTCACTATTGCATTGATTTCAGGAATTATGCAGGTTTGCCGTTTCCCAGGTCTGGAGCACCTTCAGGTTTCAGCGATCGTCTTTTTGACCTTCGGCTCCAAGTGAGGCTCTTTTGCATTTCAAATTTTGTAAATTGTCACTCATGTTCACTGCTGTGTAAAAACTTTTTGCGGACTTACAGTCTTAGCTTGGAGGGCAGAGCCCAAGACTGGCTGTGTGACTAATATGAGGCTTCATTTGATGAGGTCGGCTTCTTCTAGGCCTGTGATGTCAAACTTGGAACATTCTCTGGTGGCAACGCATCAGGCATCCAGCCCAAGCCTCGTTTACTGATGCTTCTGATGAGCTTAAGTGTTATGTGAGATATGCGAATGAGGAGAGAATCCATAATGGTGCCTAGTATGGAGGTCTTGTGCAAAGAGTTACAGAGAGTGAGCACAGGTAGTGGTAAACATAGCCAGCGACTAGTGCAGAGAAAGCCGAAGGTCACAGAGGGCTGTGAGAAACTCATCGTTTCCTGGGTTATATAAAAGAGCTTTCTCATAGCACTCTATGGCTTGGAGCTTGTCACCCCTTAGCTGATTAACATATCCCAGAATCCCAAAAGCTTCCCCATCACTCGGATTCCTGTCAGTACGCTTCTTTGCTATCTTTTTCAATTTCTGAACACACTTCTCACCCACTTTGCTATCTTTCTGAATTTGACACCCTTTCATGTAATGCTCTATGGCCAGAGACTCTGATCTCTTGTGATACAGCTGGAAGTCACCATAACATTGATGGACATTTTGCAGGTTGTCATTTTTCGCTCTGGCCACCTGAAATGCTTCCTGAAACAGCTCCTCTGCTTTGGTGAGGTTTCCCATCTTTGTATGTAAAAGAGCTAGATCTATCATGGCATAAATGAAGGAGGGCTTCAACTCAATGGCCTTCTGAAAATGATGCATGGCAAGTAGGAGAAGGTGTTCAGCCTCTTCTCTGTTGGTGTTTTTCCCTCCATTTCTGCGCAAGTTTAATCTTTTATTCCTATAGCAGACTGCAATTTGATGGTGAAGAAAGGCTGAATTGGGTGTTTTTTCCAGGGTGCGGTTAAAAAGGTCTATGGCCTTATCCATAGATCCAAGTTGTCTGAAAAACTTTGCAACATACCGCATGACGTGAGGGTTGTCTGGTGAAATCATGAGAGCTCTTTCAATCAGTTCCTCTGCCTCATTCAATCGGCCATGATCAGCTAGTTTTAGACCCAAAAGCGCCATGATATAAGGATCCCCAGGGCTCAGCTCTAATGCGCGCCTTAGCTGTTTACCAGCTGGTGAATCTTCAGTTGTGTTGCTCCCATATTCAACCCGGCACAGCGCTGTAGCATAGCCACAGTTCCAGTCAGGATTGTCTGGATGCTCTATCAGGGCTTTCTCAAAGCACTCTTTCGCTTTCTCGTGGTATTTCCTAGAATACATGAGGAAGGTCCATCCCATCTCTCCATAGACTTCCGCATGAAAAGCAGTAGGAGACTGTGTTGGAAATCGCTGCTTTATATCTTCCAGCTTCTCCAGATAATGCATGGATTTTACATGGTCGTTCAAGTGGTAGTACAGCCATGCAAAGTCTCCATATGTTACAATGAGCATCTTCTCACATTCTTCATTGTGTTTACGAATGTGGTCTTCAGCCTTCGTCAAGTTAGTGAGTGCTTCTTTTGGCTGGTCTTGCAAATATTTCACAAAAGCCAAAAAGCTGAATAAGTGTTTGGCCCCAGCTTGATCAGCTGAACTGAAATTGATATCATTCTCAAGTCTATTTTGCAAGTCACTGAGATCAGTGTCCTCTTTCCTGAGACCCCAGGTGAAGTGGCACTGAAGCTGAATAAGTTTTATTTTTAGTGAAGCGTCCTGGTTCAACCTACAGCAGCATTGTAAGCAAACAAGAAACAGTATTATTATCAGTAATGTGCAACACTGGTTTACCAACCCAGCTGCTTCATCACAGAGGTATATTTCCTTAATATTTCCTGTTGAGACTAATATTAATCTATTCGCATTTTTATATTTAGTCATAACTTTCTGTCCATACATTAAATCTATGCCTATTATTCTCTGTAAACATACCTATATGTTATTGGTGCAAAATATGAAACTAACATTTTTGTATGTTTTATTGTTATTCTTATTGAGATAAATGATCAGTCTCCTATACAAGACGGATAACACAGAAAACACAGAAAACCCCAGTATACTTACGCCATTGCAGTAAAATAAAGCTGTTAATGCAAATCTTGGCCTCGGTGTGTTGTTGATATCGTCGGTTCCGGTCTGATAAAATGCTGTCGGTTTTATATACATAAGACACGACTGACTATGACACATCCCTTTAAAAAAAGTAAATATTGCCGTTTACTTCTAGCTGAAACGAAACTTACAGAATACCTTTCGTTTCTCTTTTGTTTCAAAAGTTGCCCATTGGCTACATTGCTTGCTCTGAAATCGTAAAAACAAAAATCCTGTCCTCTTAAGAGATATTCAGTCAGATGTTTATGTGGGTAGATATTGTGGGAGAAATGTAATAAATCAGGCCAGTGAAAAACCTAAATACCACTGTACACAAAGTTAGATGTAAATCTGTAGAATGTACAGCCTATTAATGAAAACAACACTTAGGCCTAATGCAAAATCAGAGCCTTACTTAGAACACACCCCTCTTTGTGTTATTTAAAATCACAATACACACATGTTGTACTCATTAAACATGTATTTTTTATTATTAAAAGATAATTAACTCTCTGTGTGAGTAACATGCAGTGAATTGAAACAGCCGAAGTTTCTATTTACGCTTAAGTTTTCGTCTTACACAGGTAGCCAAACAGAAATTCCTAGAATGCTTCACGGGCACCTGTCCTCTTTTTCATAATACCATAGTTTTGCAATGTAGCCTGTGTTACACCCAAATCTCACCAGACTGCCCTTGCAGGGTCTTTTCAGCTGCAATGCATGTAAGCAGTGAACATGGTATGACATTTGATCTTTGTTTGACAGTCCCATAGCGACCAAACCAACGCAACTGATGGTATCAGATTGAGTTTGTGGAATGTTAATGAACAAATTACATGTCTTCTCTTCTGTTTCTGACACTCCAATGTAACCTACAATAATCATTGTATATGATCAGATGTGTATTTGTTAGTTTTGTCATTTTTCTCATCTCAAATGTATATGTGCCGCATAACAACATTTTGGTCAACGACAGACCACATATGACGGTGGGTCACTGGATTAGAATGGAGCTGAAACATTCCTATCGCCTATAGTGACGTTGTAGCGCAACACATTACTCACGTGTTTGTGACGATGCTGGTGTAAAAAAAAAACTGGCTGCGCTGCCACTTATATAAACATAGCATATATAATTATGTACAGTACATAATACTTCATAATGGTAACTATGTTACTGGTTCATGCATTTATTATACTATATTCATCGTTATTTTAGAGTGTACTCTTTCTACTCATAATGAAAATGCTCACTGTAGCCTAGGTGTGTAGCAGGCTATGCTATCTAGGTTTGTGTAAGTATGTGTAATTTGTGTTATTTTAAATCACAATACATACATGTTGTACTCATTAAACATGTCAATTTTTTCATTTTAAAAAGATAATTATGAGTAATATGGAGTGAACTGAAGTAGCCAAAGTCACGTTGAACAGTTTCTATTTACGCTTACGTTTTTTTTTTACGCAGGTAGCTATACAAAAATCCCTGGAATGCTTGACGGGCACCTTTCCTCTATAGTACCTCCGTAGTACCATAATTTTGCAGTTCAAGCCATTAGTCACAAGTACACTTATAGTATTTCTAAGGTTATATTTAGCATAATACAATTAGATACTACTGTCATACCAACAACATTATTCGTGAATTTCAAAAGCGGAGACGTCACTCTCAGATTGTTTAAAGCGTTGCTATACGTTCTGACATCCACTAGGTGTCTCCCTAGGTTAAAAATATTGGTTCGAAGCCAAAAGCTTCAAAAGCTTCATCATAAGTCAATTTAGTGAAAAGTACTGAAAACACACCATATTCAAGCCTTGTTTTAATACGAACTGTAGGACATTTATGATTTACAGTGTATTTGCCTCACCTGGCAATGATCAATTCATCTGCTGGGCTGTCAATTTTTCATTTAATTGTGATTATTGCTCCATGTCACTCGTTTTTTTCAGTCTTACCTGCTAAACACATGTAGGAACCCATCTTTTGGGTTTTAATATATAAAATAAGTAGCATCGTTCATTGTCACATACTCTATAAACAGCATACTTGCCAATTTGGTAGTAAAATTAACCTATGAACAGAGGTCTATACATATCTGTGTGCCAATGTGATGCTGAGTAAGTGTTACATAGATTTTGTATATAATTCAGGTCGATATCCTGTTTTGAAAAACATCCAGTTATTAAGAGATCGGCAGTGTGTGATGTTGCTATGTGGAGAGACAGTTCCTGCAGGTTGGTTTGGTGTTTCCTTGCTCTGTCCTCATCTGGGAACCAGCCTATCCTTTTTATGTTTGTTCACTGGTGCAAATATTTCTGCAGCATCACCTGTGCTTTTGTGGTTACCAAGTTGGTGGCTTCTGCACCTTGTTAACCAAATATTCGGTAGCAAGCCCATTCATTTGAGAGAAACCAGATTGCAATGTATGGTAGTACAATGGAATGGTGTGTTCATTAATAGCTATATACAGGATGCGCAGTGTGTTACATTTGTTATGAGTCAGTCATAATGCTGATAAATATAATCATTTTTATTTAATATATTTCTTTAAGAACCATTGGCTGATATTTCAAGTAAGTTTTGTGGAAAGTACATTTCTTTGTGTGTGTTTAGATAAAACGTCAGGAGTAATAATCACAGAAGGGCAAACAAGATCTCACTAAACAAAGGACACATGTCACATGTGACACAGGTCATACACACAGGCCCGTGGTACGCTGCCTGACTTCTCTGCAGCATAGAAACATACAAGTGATGAGTCACCCACTTCTGTAAGGTGTTTCTGCTCCTTGGTGTGTCCCGGCCAGGGTGCCTTGGGTTCCCAACTGTGTTGGGAGGCTCGGACCTCATAATATCTGCTATGCAAATCTAGTTTTACTCGTATTTCTATAATAACTGTATTGCAGAGAAGACTGCACGTGTTCAAAACTGATAAAAGCACAGTTTTTGTCAGCATCACATTCTAAGCATCAGCTGACCCGGTTAATATCTACACAATTGAAGGCTCAGAAAACAGGCTGAATAGGGCTACATTTGGCTGTAATTAGCAGCCAATGGAAGGATGTCAGTCTAGAGTTTGAATCACTAAAATTTTTGGTCCTCAGCCACCACTGTTATCACTGCATATTACCAAATGCTATACAAATCTGTACAGTGATGGATTCGAATATTTTTCTGAAATACAGTTTACAGTTTATCTTTAAAAACAAGGATATGTAGACTTTTAATTACAGTGTGAGAACGATTTATTGATGAAAAGCTCATCAAAACAGAACCACATAATATGCTGGAAGGTCAAGTATGCATAGAAGGAAAAGAAACAACACTTAAGAAGACTGATGTAGTATAATTGATAAAACATTTTTAAAATGAGTTTTAACATTAAATTATCAAGGTAGAGCTCCATACATGATCTAAAATATAACAGTTCAGCTACCCTACCTGTATTTGTAGCTTGTTAATGACATCTTTTATTCATGCGACAGAATTCATTAGTATCCCATTAACATTGTAGAACATAGCATATAGCTAATGCTAGCTAATGCTACGTTCCATTTACCTTGGGGGTTGGAAGCTAGAGCTGGGAATGACATCACACCCGAGTTAACAGTATTGCAGTAAGTCAGAAATCATTAACAATACCAGTTATAGCCAGGTTCATTGTCAGCTACTGTTAACAATACCAGTTGATTACAGCACATACAAAAACCATAACAATATGTCCATAGATAGTGGGTTGTTAGACTGTACTGTGTGTACGACCGATTTAATGAGACACGAAAAATGTTGCTAATATACAGTATATGTTAGGAATGGCTGAGGCCCGAGGCTTCAGGAACCAGGGAAGGCCATGGAGCTCCAAAACTTACAAAACTTTATTGTCCTTGCTCACCAAAATTGCACAAATACAAGTATTAACAATAACAAAAAAAGAAGAAGTAATCATCAGACAGGCTATACCCTAGCAGACCTTGGATCCATAACCACCATTAGCCCATTCTCCAGGGTTTATATAGATTTTAACCCCTCCCCTTAGGACAACTAATCTAACAATTATCATCCTCAATACAACACATCCCACATACACAATTCTAAAATATATTATCCAACACCACAATTTTATTCAAATTTATTCATAAAACCAACAAAGGCTAAAATATCAATTTTATTGTAATGTGCAAAAATCCCCTCCCCAACCACTTGGTTTAACCCAACAAATTGTGAACACCCTTCCCCTCCCCAATCACACAATTGTCATGGTAACACCCAGCTGGACAATCCTGGATTGAATCCATATCTATTTCAAGGTAGAAGGAAAATACCAAAATGTAATTAAGATATCCGCATCATGATCATCACTGTTTAACTTAATTGGGCAACATTTTATAAACATAACATGCGGTAACTTAACAATACTGTCATGATCCCATCCGTGACATTTCCCCTCCCTTATTCAGACGCCACCTGGCGTCCTAGACAAAAAATCCGCTATACAATTCTGTGGTCCAGCCCTGTAATGCACAAAAAAATCAAAAGGTTGAATTGCAAGAAACCACCGAGTAATCCTCGCATTAGAATCTCTCATTCTGCCCAACCAGGACAATGCCCGGTGATCTGTCTCCAAGTCAAACCTGCGTCCTAATAAATAATACTTAAAAGAATCCAAAGCCCACTTAATAGCTAAACACTCCTTTTCTACTGTAGAGTAGTTACATTCTCTCGGCAAAAGTTTACGACTAATATAAGCAACTGGCTTCAAATCCCCAGTTTCCCCTTGTAAAAGGACAGCTCCAAGTCCACTCTCTGAGGCATCCGTCTGCACAGTGAAAGTCTTCCCAAAATCTGGGCTCTGCAAAACCGGGTCTTGATAGAGGGAAGCTTTCAGGTCAGTGAAAGCCGCTTCACACTCTGATGTCCATTGCACCTTACTTGGATGGTACTTCTTGGTCAGCTCCGTCAGCACGGCTGCTCTACTTGAGAAATTTGGTATAAAACGACGATACCAACCAACAAGACCTAGGAAAGAGCGAACTTGCTTCTTTGTTGTTGGCCTCTGTGCTGATGTGACAGCCTCCACCTTCTCCACCTGAGGGCGGATCACGCCCCGACCCAACACGTAGCCGAGATATAACACCTCTTCCTTAGCCATAATACATTTGTCTGGGTGAATTGTCAATCCGGCTTCTTTTATATGTGCCAAGACATCTTCCACATGTTGCAGATGCTCAACCCAACTGTTACTATAGATTACAATATCGTCCAGGTAAGCTGCTGCAAAGTTCTCTGTACCCTTAAGAACCCTATCCATGAGCCTCTGGAAGGTTGCCGGTGCTCCATGTACCCCAAAAGGAAGAACTTGAAACTGATAGCAACCAAATGGTGTTCTAAAGGCTGTATACTCTCTACTGTCCTTTGCAAGAGGCACTTGCCAGTATCCCTTGCACAAGTCAAGAGTACTGAGGAACTTGGCTTTACGAAGACGCTCTATCAAATCATCCACCCTTGGCATTGGATAAGGGTCAAATTTAGAGAGAGCATTTACCTTACGGAAATCCAGACAAAACCTCAGACTCCCATCTTTCTTGGGGACGAGGATAGTGGGGCTGCTCCACTCACTATCAGAAGGTTCAATCACATCCAGACTCAGCATCACATCCAGTTCCTGCTTCAATACTGACAAGAGTCTCTCTGGAACTCTATAAGATGGTTGTCTAATAGGCTGATGTTCTTTCATCGTGATGCGATGTTCCACCAGCTCCGTCCGTCCTGGTTTCTCTGTAAACAGGTTGTCTGGCAAGACCTGGAGGAGTTCACCTTTCTGATCTGGTGTTAAATGACTCAAGTTCAGCTCCCCCCCTTGCTGCAGACCTGGGAAATATTGCTCATTACACTCCTCTTCCTCCTCCACATGTCTTATCAACATTGCTGCGGAAGACTGCTGTACCCTAGCAGACCTTGGATCCATAACCACCTTTAGCCCATTCTCCAGGGTTTATATAGATTTTAACCCCTCCCCTTAGGACAACTAATCTAACAATTATCATCCTCAATACAACACATCCCACATACACAATTCTAAAATATATTATCCAAAACCACAATTTTATTCAAATTTATTCATAAAACCAACAAAGGCTAAAATATCAATTTTATTGTAATGTGCAAAAATCCCCTCCCCAACCACTTGGTTTAACCCAACAAATTGTGAACACCCTTCCCCTCCCCAATCACACAATTGTCATGGTAACACCCAGCTGGACAATCCTGGATTGAATCCATATCTATTTCAAGATAGAAGGAAAATACCAAAATGTAATTAAGATATCCGCATCATGATCATCACTGTTTAACTTAATTGGGCAACATTTTATAAACATAACATGCGGTAACTTAACAATACTGTCATGATCCCATCCATGACAGTATAAAAGTACAGCTTTCACTTCTGTTGATGAAGGGCGCGGCCATCTTGAATTCTGAGGTCGGGGTTGTAGAGGATCCTCCGGCTTTCCGAGTCGGAACTCCGACTTCAGGGGGCCTTCCAGTTGAAAATCTCAACTCATTTGAGTTTCATTTATTCTGCAAAGGCAGCTGTGAGGTCATCGGATTCAGAAGAGAAATCACTTGACTTCTTCACATAATGGCTTGCTTGCATCTTCTGCCTATCCATGGCAGACAGAAAAGCCAGAATTTCAGAAGCCTCGCTAACCTTTCGCCGGCCATGAGTCCACCTCTCTGCTATCTGCCTGAGCTTCTTTGCTGCTTGCATCCTGTCTGAGCTTTTTATCTGCATCTGGTAAGCGATCCTGAACTGAGCCACAGCCTGATCTTCAGCTTTCCTCTTGTACAGGAGAAACACACCATACCTGGTGTGACAGTGCTGCTTGTCTGGCTCCCAGAGAGAATCATCCTTCAGTAAATCAGTGAAGATCTTCTCTGCTTCAAGCAGCTGACGGTTTTCAGCGTACGCCTCAGCCAAGCTGACCTGGGCATGTATGTTAGAAGGCTTCAATTCCGCTGCCTTTCTGAAATAGTAGATGCATTCTTCAGTTTTATCCCTCTTCCGGGCCATAGGAATACACTTGGTTGCCCTGTCTGTTTGCAGCATCTGGATGAGCTGCTGTCTGTGGCACAGTCCAATCTGATGGTACAGGAAGGAGGAATTTGGTGCCAGTTTCACTGCTTTTCTGAGAATCTCCAGGGATTCCTCAGTGGATCCTTCTGCCCGTAAATACTTAGCAACATACCTTGTCACCTGGGGGACATCTGGAGACAGCCTGAGGGCATCTTTAATAAGTCTTTTAGATTCTTGTTTACTGCTACTCTGAAGTTTCAGGGCCAGTAGCACCTTTATTTCAGAATCATCGGGCTCCAACAGTAACGACCTCCTAAGCTGAAAAACGGCCTCACTGCTTTCCGGCTTCATCCTTGTGTCTCGGTCCATCCCTTCAATGCGGTAGAGGACCACTGCATATCCTGTGTTGTAGGATACACTGTCTGGGTCCCCTTGCAGGGCTTTCTGAAAGCTTTCCTTTGCCTGGTCATAAAACGAGGCCCCAAGCTTTAAGAGGGTCCAGCCTTTTTCACCAGCAATTACGGGCAAACCGCAGGAATACTGTGAGGACCCAGGAACGCCCTTGCAGATTTCTTCCACTTTACTAAGGTAGGTCACGGCATCCTTCAGATTCCCAGAATGATGATAAACCCATGCCAAGGTACCAAAGTTTACCAGAAACTCTGTGTCAGCCTTTTTGTCCTCCGTTAAGACATTCTGGCCTTTAAGGAGAAACTCCAGCGCACGCTCATTGTCCCCTTGCAGATGACTCACAAAACCTAGTATGTTCAGGTATGTTGCATGGTATCTGCGTGGGCCAAATTTCACTCGATCGAGAAGCTTTTCTGGGATGTTGCAAAGGCCTTTAACGTCAGATTCATTGATTCTCCAAGTAAAAGGGCATTCCAGTCTTTTCAACTTGGCTTCCATTTCACTGGAGAACCCAAAAAACAGTCACTCTAAGCAATGCTATGATGTTGCAAATGTTAAGAACTAGCTTTACCAATGTCAAATGTCATTTTAAATTTAGAGATCATACTGTATATGGCAGACATGATTAGGCAACTATAGGTATTAAAGTCTCTTAAAATTAGCACCAGATGGGTGAAGCATTAGGCCTTAATTCTCTAACAATACATTTTAGAATACATTTAAGTGATTGAATACCAGACATGCAGCAAAGGGTTTCAGCATAATAATAAAACAGAAACAAATTAGAATAGGCATATGAAATATCAGATTTTACCTTATCCTTTCAGCGTTAAATTAATGCTGTCGAGCATTGATCGCGACAAGGCTGTTCAGTTTCTCCAGAAACGAAACCGAAAGCTTACTCAATATTACACCAAACTTATTGTAAAACGTAAGCTTTTTAACGCTAGATGGCGCCATTCGAAAAAGAAACGAACCGAAAATTGCTGACTTCTGAAATTGAGACACCTAGAAAACTTTCCGATTTGGGTTACTCAATACACGTTGTAGTTCCGTTCTTAAAAGATTTACGTAAATGGAAAAGAAAATTATTGATTTCCCTTGAACTAATGTGTGAAGTACGTTCCAGACCAACTAATAAAATAGGAATTTATTTGTAAGTTTATGGGAATATAAATAGGAAATGCTGTGGAATTATTAATAAAACTATTATTATTCTTCCTATACAGTTGCCCCTCCTCAGCACTTGAGTGTGTGGAAACTACAGCAGAAATTCATCTTCTGTGATTGAGTAGCGGTTCTTATTTAATCGGCGTCCTTCCTCGAATGTCTGCGCCACAAATCTCACGATAGGAAGTTTTACGTATACAGCCAACAGAAATCAATTCAATCTTTTGCACAAAAAAAAAAAAAACTTAAACGTGAATATATTCTATGTGTTTTGAGTGTATCGTCCCTAATTAATCAACGACGTGTATGTGAAACTTCTATCGGCGCAACGTATAATATTCATTTATTACATATAATATATAGCCTATTTATACTGTATATATAACGCGCAATATCCAGTTACCCGTGCAAGTTTTGCTTTCATTTAATTGCAAGATGAAGTTAAATTGAAGTTAAGGGTTCCCAGACTTTGTTAAAATAGTTTTATTTATCAAACGCTTTTATCCAAAACGACGTAAAAGTAAAGTAAATAGCACATGTGATAACACACAATCTTAGTTACAAAATAATTTTTCTGGTTCACACACCGACGTACATCTTTGTTTTTAAGCTTTGCTCTTCAAACCTTTTTTTTTTTTTACCGCCCCCCTACATGTGTAGGTACCCTCATAATCACCCATGCTTTCCAGGAAACAAATGCAGTGGATACCACGAGCTCGGAATGAGTTAATTCTCCGCGGGGTGACGTGGGAGGGGCTTTTAGGTATTTAAGTAGGAGTAGCTCTGAACTAAAAAGACAGACTAACTCATTACTCTCCACATATCGCAATGGCACTGCAGAACTTGTGGGATTTCATTCAACAATACCATCAATGCCTCAGATCCCCTTTCTTTCCTGTGCTCTTCTCGCTCTCCGTTTACCTTGGCTTCTGCCTGCCATTTGTCATCTTGGATCTTCTCGCGCCTAGAGTGGCTTTGGTGCGAAGGTACAGGATACAGCAGAAGAACGACATCTCCTGGGGCATGATGTGGAACTGCGTGGCGCAGTGCCTCTACAACCACGTGATGTTCATCTTCCCACTGAGTGTGATTCACTGGTATTACAGGCCGACGTACCATCCGTCAGATGCTCCTGAGCTTCATCGTATGATCCTGGAGATCGTCGCCTGTCTCCTCCTCTTCGATTTCCAGTACTTCGTCTGGCACCTCCTCCACCACAAAGTGCCCTGGCTCTACCGTACCTTTCACAAGGTCCACCACAAGTACACCACCACGTTTGCCCTCACCACGGAGTACTCGGGCGCTTGGGAGACTTTATCTCTCGGCTTTTTCGCCTCCATCAATCCACGGCTGCTGGGCTGCCACCCCATGACGGAGATGCTCTTCTTTGTGCTGAACATCTGGCTTTCGGTGGAGGACCACTGTGGCTACGACTTCCCCTGGTCCACGCATAGACTGGTTCCCTTTGGCCTGTTTGGAGGAGCACCCCATCATGACCTGCATCACCTGAGGTTCAAGTCCAACTACGCCCCTTACTTCACACACTGGGACCGGCTCTTTGGAACGTTGCACATGGAGTGAAGTTCTGCCTTGATGCAGATATGGACTGCAGGTTCAAAGAGTGTCATGCCAAAACATTCTGACTTTAGAATATTTCAAAGAGAACCGATTGCACTGATAAACGGCGAGATGAAGAGCTTTACGCAACAGTATTAATTTATTTAAACATTTCAACATTTTTGAAAAATGTTCTATTTATTCCCTGTGATGCACTGGCATCCCATCTAGGTTGTGGAAGATGAATGCATGCATGAGTGTATTATATTTAATCCAATTAAATATTTATTTTTCTGTACTTGTGGTGTGAGCTTCATTTATAATGCAAACGCAAACTGAACACCTGCTGAGACAAGAAAACATTTTAAATCACAGAAAAGGCACTAGTTGCTAGAATGGTTCAGTGAATTCAAGTTCAGCTTGTCTGAACAGCACCCTTGCTGATTTATAGGCTTCCCAAATTTCCACTATACTTCTCCAACAGGTTCCACAGATGATACAAGAAGGGACATGAAAACGTACGAACCTCAAGGCTTGGCCTCAATTTATGTGTTCAGGCCAGTAGGTGTTAGGCTGTAAACAACATAATCTGGAATAATTTCACCTACAGAAAAAATGTTGTATATGAAATTGAATCTACTGGATATATACCTCTGCAGAACTGCTTAAGTAAGCTAATCAAAACGGGTAAAAATTTGTACCTCTGCATGTCACTGGGGCTGTACCTTTGTGACTGTTATTTATGAATTGGCCTCTGTAGAGAGAGCAGTGACCACATGACCGAAGTGCGGTTAAGACATGGCCTTTTTGCTTGCGGTCCTGGAGTGGAAGAATCGTAAGTGAAAAGCACAGGAAACGGCTCCTCTCTCTGCTTGTGTCATACTTCCATCTCTTTCCTTCCTTTCATTTTTCGGGAATAACCAAAGGCGTTTTTTTTTTTTTTTTTTAATGATCCCAAAATAATACATTTTCCGTAATCATGAAGTGTCCAGGGAGCATTTTAGAATGTGTTTAATTCAGAATAGATTCATTTCACTGATAAAGTTATGTAAACATCTGGACATTTTGTGAACCTTGGATGACTCATTTCCCTTCTGGGAAATTCCATTGTTTGCCCAAATATGCAAAGTAATCCCGGCAGTGTCAAAAGACTGGCTATCTTTTAAGGATTCATTTATCCTACTTTACAGCTAGGGTCCAATGTCAAAAACTCCAGACTGGAAAGCCCCTCTGAAAATACCCATTTGTTCCTCATTTGCTGCCTGTTCCTGCCATGCATGCACGTGACTTTATTTAGTATGCACATGCTCTGATTTCCTTTATATCTTATACACTGTAGTTTGAAAGTATTTGCTTTTGGTATATGTATGTGAAATTCCTTGAAATTACACTTGTGTGCAGGATTTTTAAAGAAACCAAAATAACAAAAGAGACACATGGCTTGTATAGGTTTCTCTCTTTTCCTGACACATAGGGTCAAGATGTCACAGTTCACTAATCTTACGAACTGGAATTTCCTAGATCTTCACAAACCTGTCATATAGTTGCAAATGGATTGGGCTCAGCCGTGTGTATCCAGCTATCTCTTATAATATAGTAATTGTTTGTGATGATGATACATTTCAACATTTAGAAACTTTGTCATGGCAACAAATTAGCCTCCCTGCAGATTATTGGCAGATATAAACAGGCTGCAACAGACAATAGTTTATAACCCGAATCTGCTGATACATAGTTCCAGAAGGAGGCATCACCATTCAGGTTGATGTAAGCATCCATCCATCCACCAATCCTATCCAGTACAGAGTACCAGGAAACCAGGCAGCACAGGACACAAGACAGGAGCACACCTAGGATAGCACCAACCAACCAACCAACCAACCAACCAACCTTTATAACCTCTCAGATTAACCAGACCTAGACTGAGACATTGAAACCATAAACGTGTGTCAGTGCAGCACAGCATGCACAGTAATGTATACATAAAAAAACTCTTAACTTCCCCTCTTGTGAAATGTTTCATTTCCCTACTTGTTATAAATTAGATGTCCTTGACTTATTTTGGCACATACTCCAAACTTTCATTTCTGCTTTTCATATAAAGTCAGACTCAGATTCAGGAACATTTGCAAGATATGTCAAGAGTACTGGGGTTTTTATTCTGGTGGCACAGAACAGACACACAGCATCAGGCAACAAAAATATACATAAAATATACATAGAAAATGCAATAATGCTATTGGATATGCTGATTTATAAGAGGTACTGTTCCATCCATCCATCCATCCATCCGTCCGTCTTTTAATTATTTATGCTGGTCAGGGTCATGGGGGGGTGATAAAGCCCCTACCAAGGCAGCACAGGGCATAATTAAGGTGGGGGCAATTATATATATATATTTTTTTTAGCAGACTCTGTAATCCAAAGCAACACCCCTCCCTCTTCCACCCAGTTGTGCTATGCTGGGTCATGAGAATCTGAAGCTGACCCCAGAGGCTACGGGCCCAAGGCAGGGAATAATCCAGGACGGGGCAGACACACCCTATTCATAGACCTATGAACAATTTGGAAACTTCAACTCACCTCAGCGCATTTTTAGACTGTGTGGGGAACCCTTGGGGAAACCCCACAATCACACGGGGAGATCACACATACGTGTGCAAACTCCACACACATAGAGCTGGGGTGGAGACTCAGACCCTGGTCCCAGAGATGGGTGGCTGCAGCACAGCCCCCCAAAGCAAATTCTTTTCTTTCTCTTTTTCTGTCTGTCTGTCCGTCTGTATCTGGGTTAACTTAAGCTAGAAGTAATGATTGTCCAATAACAGTTTAGTTAAGGAGCATTCCTATTGGACAATCATCTATCTTAAGTTAACCAAGCTAACTGAGAAGTCCTGCTCCATGGGACACCCCCCTAGTCGCAAAGGCCCAAGATGAATTTGCATTTGGACTCCATGCCTATGATCAGATCTTCAAATCTTGTGGCTGGCAGATTGCTGCCGTCTCTGGACCCTTCATCGAGGCCCTGAACCCCAATTTCTCCGGCGGCCAGACACAGGCCGACCATGTGCTGTGACCCCCAAGCTTCACTTGTATTTGCATCTGTGATAAAGGCAATTTCCTGCATGAATACAGTTTCGCTATTTTACTGCCTGTTTTCTGAAAGTGACTCTTCTTGCTTGTTAGTTTCTGTCTAACTGTAACTTGTCTAATATTTCACCACGATTGCATTACTGTCCTTGTCATTCCTGATTGTGAATCATTAAACTGCCTTGGATCTTACTACTCTTTCATTACACTCCTGGTAAACATCCATCAAAAGCCAACACTGTTGATCTTCCTTGTGTGTGAGATTCCATTTAACCTTTATTTAGTGGATGCTTTTGTGAGGCAAATGGCACATTGCCCAGGTGTCACGCCGCAGGATCAACCATCATGCAGCACCTCTGGAGCTGGGGGTTAAGGCTGGGGCTCAAACCAATGACCTTCTGATCATGGGTACAGAGCCTCAGCCTGTAGAGCCAGTCACCGTACAAGTGCAAGCAGTACTGGAGCAAGAGTTGCGTGGAACATATGTTCCAACAAACAAAGACAGTCAAAATCAGCCGAAAATACATTATTCCGGAATACAGAGTTTTATAATTGCAGTTAGTCGATTATTTGGGGGTATTCCACTACGCCATAGACCAGACATATCTTGTTTTGGTTTACCTGCAGTTCTCATTTCTTCCAGACACAGTGAAGGAAGCGAAAATTTTTTCCATTGCTTATTTTGGTTTCCTTCTGCAGACCACATGATAAAATCACAAGGCAGTGTTTCCCAACCCAGTCTTCGGTAATTCCCAGACAGTCCATATTTTTGTTCTCTCCCAGCTCCCAACACACCCATGCAAGGTATTTGGAGTTACTGATTGGCTAGAAGCTGGGAATGAGAAGGATTGTGGGCTGTTTGGGGATTCCCGAGGACTGGGTTGGGAAACACTGTCATAAGGCCAAATGAAAAATAACCGAGGATATATCAAAAAGTGATGCAATAACTGGTTTAATATGCTGCAATAAATGCAAACTTGTGCTTAAATTGGTCATTTAACTGATGTGGTTAATGAATTACTTAATTCAATCAAATAGAGAACTTCATTCATCTCTGTGGAGATCCTTTCATATACCTCATGTTGTTCTCCAAGTCAGGCACACGTATACAGTTTACTACACCATGACAAAGAAAATAATGTTTAAATTAACTTTATGTTTTATAAAACTATAATTTTATGCCTGGCGAAGTGTGTTAGTTCAGCCATTTCAAAACCTATTCTCAAGCCACTCCAGTATTTGCAGTAGTCGTTCAATATACCCATGTATTTGTTGACTTGACCACCAGAATCCCTTCTATAGCTAATCAGTACCTCTCAAATTAAGTTAATTAATTAAGTGGGCTGGTGAAGAAATTTAACAAATATATCGAACGGCTGAGGTGCCCCTGAGTAGAGATTTTGATACTGAAGCGGTGTTCATCTAGCCATCCAGTAAGATATCAGTAACTTTTTAGAGAACAGAAAAAGTTTTTTTTCATTGTTTATTGTGTTACTGTTTGCTACTATTGTGCTTTTTTCTTGAGCAAATAAGAATTACTACCCAAATAAATTACCTTAAACAATATGTATGACAACCCAAAAATTTTGCATCATACTGAAAGTGAGAAAAAATTGTGCACTACAGGGTCAACCAGGGGGCGGAATGGTGGTGCAGTGTTTAGCACTGTTGCCTCACACCTCTGGGACCTGGGTTCGAGTCTCCGCCTGGGTCACATGTGTGTGGAGTTTGCATGTTCTCCCCGTGCCGTCGTGGGGTTTCCTCCGGGTTCTCCGGTTTCCCCCCACAGTCCAAAGACATGCTGAGGCTAATTGGCGTTGCTAAATTGCCCTTAGGTATGCATGTGTGACTGAATGGTGTGCTAGTGTGCCCTGCAATGGGCTGGCCCCCCATCCAGGGTTGTTCCCTGCCTCATGCCCGTTGTTTCCAGGATAGGCTCCGGACCCCCACGACCCAGTAGGATAAGTGGGTTGGACAATGGATGGATGGATGGGTCAACCAGCATCCCAGAAGCAACTGGGGTTGAGACTAGGGTTGGGTATCATTTGGGGTTTTTTCAATACCGGTGCCAAATCGATACTTTTAAAACAGTACCGGTGCCAAAACGGTGCCTGAACCAATACTTTACAAAAGCCACAAAATGATGGTGGATGACTCAAGAATACATTTTTATTGAACAAAAAATTGAATGCTTAAAATTGAACAATA